ATTTTTGAAATATTTATTTTATTAAATTATTAACATATGATTATGCGTGACATATCTATGAAATTTAGTTTCATATTATTAATTTTCTTAATAAACGGTCCGACTATAAATTTAACGTATTAAATCAGTTAAATCTTAAACCGCAAATTTTATCAGATTTGAATTTCTGTCTGATTTTTAAAATATTAAATTTATTATTTAAGGAGATCTGCTACTCAGTGATATTTGGTGAGTTTGGAATGAATCTAAAAGAAATTGCATTATTAGGGCATGGTCATATAACTTAGAGTTTAGGTGACACTCTCAACTTTATAGACTTGTAAAGTATTAGTAATATATATATATATATATATATATATATATATATATATATATATATATATATATATATATATATATATATATATATATATATATATATATATATATATATATATATATATATATATATATATATATATATATATATATATATATATATATATATATATATATATATATATATATATATATATATATATATATATATATATATATTAAACTTTGACTCCTCTTAAATTTAAAATATTAATTTAAATATTGTATTTGAACTTTCTTTGTACAAATGAATTTATTGAACTTTTTTTAATGTACTTGCATTTTCATGTTATTCAAGCACTTATCTCTGTCTTTTCTTATTTACAGCTGTGTAGAAACTCTATATTGATTCGGTGCTCTTTTATGTTAATTTAAAGTGCAACAATTTTAACCTCTATAATCTCTTTTACACGTAGTTGCAGTTCATTGCAATCACTAAATTTTTTCTATACAAATATTTTTACAAAATTACATTAATAAGAAACAAATCCACTTACTTATCTGTAAGATAATTTAATGTATTGCAACAGTCAACCTCTCTTTTTGTTAATTTAAAGTGTAATAATTTCAATCCCTCTCTTCTACACGTAGAGTGATTTTGGCCACTAAACAAATTTGAATCCACTTGTTATTATTTAAAATAATTTGAACTAATTTAAAATAGTTTAATATTATTATTATTTAAAATAATTTATAAACTTACTTTGCATACAAATTTTAATTTATTGCATTCTCTGTTTGAAAATGTTGTGAATTAGATATTTTAAGATAAAGTATAATCGGTTTTTTAATTATCAAGAAATACATAAGGGTTATGATTAATAAAGAAGAAAACAATAAAGATTGATTATTAAACTGCTATTCTTTCCTTTCTCTTAGAACAAGATTACAAGAATAACAAAATAACTCCCCTCTCTTGAAATTAGAATTTTATCTTCCTATTTTTCCTTATATCAAGATTGAGAAACTAGCATCCTATTTATAAGAAAAATAGCACACTAACCTAATGGGTTTTTTTAACAATTACTCATTACAAACTAATTTAGGGTACAAGTTAACTTAAACAATTGAGCTTACAAGCAAGACCTAATTCAACATGCTAACAACCATAGCAATATTGACTAATGCATGTTAGAACAGACTTCGACTACAATACGCATGACTCGCGAACAGACTTCGACCACACTAGGGATCCATGTGTTCTTTGCTTGCCTTTGTTAAACTTCGTCCTATAGGATTTACCAAATACACAAGATTCACATAACTCCAACTTTTCGACTTTGTCACCTCCTAACAGGTTCTGCTTCCCCAATTCGACCAAGTCTCTTTCGCTGACATGACCCAATCTCATGTGCCATAATTTTGTCTTCGCAACAGGTTTCATGAATGCAACATTTGTCGAACCACTTACAACCTCAGTCTCAAGGGTATACAAACCTTGTTTCTTCACGCCTCTCAAGACTTCCTTCGACCCCTTCACGACTCTTAGGATACTTTTCTCTCCTTCAAAAACATATCCCTTTTTGTCGAATTCACCAAGAGAAATCAAATTTCTCTCCAAGTCATGTACATACCTAACTTCAGACAATAACCTTATTGACTCATTATGGAGCTTGAATCCCACAGATCCAATACCTACAAATTTGCAAGATTTGTTTTTTTCCAAGAGCACAGATCCACCATCTTGATCACATAGCTCCTCGAACAATTCTCTGTTTGGAGTCATGTGTCAAGTGCAACCTGAATCCATAATCCACTCTTTTCTCGAGTCGCCACTTGAAACCATAAGAACATCAGATGAATCAAAGTCATCTTGAACAATGGCTGCGTTGCCATTACCTCCATGATCTTTTAGGCGTTCAGGACGCACCTTTCTTATGTGACCCTCCTTTTTACAGTGATAACATCGAATACCAGATGTTTCGCCACTATAAGACTTCTGTTGACTTTTACCTTTCTTCTTGTCAAACTTACCATCCTTTCGCAGACTTTGACCGCACTAGAGTTCGATTTAACATCTCACAGAGAATAATTTTATGTGTTCTAATACGATCTTTTTCTTTTTATAAATTGCAAATATGAGAATATAAACTATAGCATTCTGTTCATACCCTATGCATTATTATTCTTATCTAAAATTAAAAATTAAAAAAATTATCCTCAATTGCTTGAATCAAGATGTTAAATAATTAAGAAAAAAAAATATTTAACCAATTAAATTGAAAACTAATATGATAATTAGTCAAAAGAAGAAAAAATATAGAATATCACGGTGAGTTCATTAGGATACCAAAGACTTTAATCATGATGGTCTTTAAGAAAAAAAATTAAAATATATTTAAAAATGATCAAGAAAAGATTAATTTGAAACAAAAGGTCAATTTAATTTCTAAACCATCATTAATTTATTAATTTAATACTTAAAAGGTTAAAATCAACTAAAATTTTATAAAAAAAACTATTAAAATTGATTATTTAAACCTTAATTTTAATAATTTAAAGATAAAATCTATAAGAGATGTATAGTTTAGAAAGCAATAAGATCAAATAGGTGTGATTGTTTGGATTTTTGACATTTAACTCTTAGAAGAAAGAATTGGGAAAGCATGATGAACGGTGAGTAAAGTGAGGGTTGATGAAGGATGGTGGAGGCTAGGTGTATAGAATAGAGGATTCTTATTCTAAAAAAGAAATGAAAGAGGTTAGTTGGCACTGAGTAAAATGAGTGTGTAACAGCAAAGAAAGAAGAAAAAAAAAGGTTATGTTACTTAGAACAGTTGGCAAATGTGTCAGTAAAAACATTAAAAAAATGAATAAAAATACTAAAGATGTTTTTTAATTATGAAAGAATACTAAAGGGAACAAGCTTGGCCTTCAAGAGAAGAACCTCTCAAATTCAATCAAAGGAAAAAAATGCACACGCCCCCCTTAAGATAAAAGGTGAAAACTTAATTTCATTATTATTCATTAATAAGTAATTAATTAACTTAAACTTAAACCTCAATAATAATAATAATATTAAACCTTAATTTAATTATTATTCAATGACACAATTGAAAAAATTAAAATTATTATTATATTAAAAGTAAAAATAATGATTATTTCGAAACAAATTTTATTTATTAAAACTATAGTTGTTTTGAAATGAAGAGACGAATTTTTTTTAAAGTAGCAATGTTATATAATTTAATTACCAAATAAAACAAGCTTTTAAAAAAATTACCAAAATAAACTCATCCAGCAAGCATTCGCCAAATGGTTTGGCGAATTAGTTAAAATGTTGTTTCAAGGCATTCGCCAAATGGAATGACGAATTAGTCTAATTCGTCATTCCATTTGGCGAATGCTTTGAAACAACATTTTAACTAATTCTCCAAACCATTTGGCGAATGCTTGCTAGATGAGTTTATTTTGATAATTTTTTTAAAAGCTTGTTTTATTTGGTAATTAAATTATATAACATTGCTATTTAAAAAAAATTCTGAAGAGACTATTGGATAAAATTTCAAATTATTGTCATTTTTTTATAAATAAAGGCATAAAAATAAAAAACAATGAAGTCAAAAACATGAAAATTATAATATTAGAAAACAAATTCTCAAAATTGATTAGGTTGTTGTTGTTGTTCTGTTTCTGCAATAATTTACCAACAGGAGCAGTTGGCAGTAGTTAGTATGTCTTTTAAAATGATACATGTCACTTCATAGCATGGGCAGGTAAGCATACAAAGCAAACTACTTTCTCTCTCTTCTTTTCTCTCTCTCTAGACTTCTAGCTTATAGTGTTGTCTGTAATCTATAAAAGTTAGATTTTTATGTCACCTTTGGTGTTTATGGTCACTACCCAATTCATGAAATTGGTTTTCATTATCCAATTTACATAGCATTTCATGCTTCTTAAATCCTGTCCCTTTCACTTTCAAGTTTCCTCAGTCATTGCAGGATTTGAGTATACTATTTTATGCTTTTTGGTCTTTGTTTCTTCTTGGATTCCAAATTCCATTATTTATTAGTAACAATAGTAGAAACAACATTTTTTTTCACTTTCAAAGTTTAATCCCATCAACTGTTTGTTAAATTGCCTCACTGAAACTTTCTTCTTCTATGTAATGATATTAAGAATAACCAAAATTGAAGATTGTTTGTGTTGCTGTGTGGAGAAAGTAGAAAAGGGAATCTGCTTTATTTTGTAGTTTTGATGAGCTGTTGTTGGGTAATCTAATCTCAGTGTCTATGTCATCTACTTTATGCTCTTAACAAGACTGAAAGGTTTCACTTTTCTTGTCTCTGAGAGGAACCATTTTTATTATTTTCTCTTCATTAGACTTGATTGGATCCTAGGGTTTTTGAAGGAATAGGTGGCATCTGTATCCGAGTTAGATTATATTCCATTTTATGAGAACAAGGTTTTTTTTTCTTTTACTTTAACTTCTTCTCAGTCCTATAAAGCTGCAAAATTATTTGTTCCTTGTTTAGTCCTGCAAGATATCTCTTGAGCCAACCTTAGTCAAAATTTGCTTTCCCTTTAATCATTTATATGCATTTCTTGAGCCAACTGCTGAGTCAGGATTGTTCTAATCAATTGATATATAAATATTGAAAGAGAGAGACATAAAAAGGTGTTGTTTTCTTGGTTGAGTTGAGATGGGTGGTGAAGAAAAAGCCATGGAGTTTCAACATGGAAATGAGAACATTATGACTTCAGAAATGGATATGAGTTCTGTGTCAATGGCTAATAAGCCTTCTTCAGAGATAGTTAACCATCATCATCCTTTTCTTGCTTCTTCAGCTTGGGATAATCCACTTGTTTCATTGAGTCAGGCTCATACTTTTGGGGGTTCTTCAATGGTTTCTCACAATGAGTTTGCTAATACAAATTCAACTTATAACCCTCTTGTTTTGGAGAATCATCAAGGAATAAGTAGCACCTCTCACCTTGTTCAATACTCGAATCTCAGTGGCATGATCCACAAGGTTCCTTCCTATGGAAGTGGAAGTTTCTCTGAAATGGTTGGTTCCTTTGGCCAACATGGTGACCATGTAGCTAACACATCAGGATATCCAATTCCACCACAACATTATAACCACGTCAAGGATGCTGGAATCCAAAGGGGTCAAATTCACGGCGAACAATCTCAAGTTGAGGACTCAATTCATGAGGATGGAGCTCTAGGATCTGCACCTAGCAGTGGAAATAGAAGAAAGAGAGGATTTGATCAAAATTCTAATTTCAGTCCAAACAAGGTTTGTTTCTAAGCTAAGTTTGGTATTCATATACTAATGAATCTTATTATATAGGATCTTATTCATATGTTAGTGGTTAGTTTGTTGGGGAGAAAAGAATGTTAGTGGCTCTGTGGCTGAGATGGAACTTAGACCTTATGCACAGAACCTCATTAGTGTCTCATATAGGACTTGCAATGTTTCTTTGTTTTGTTTATGAGATTTTATGAGATGCTAATGAATGAAATGCTTCATATATGAGCTTGGATTAGATCAAGGTTTGTTGCTAAGCTAAGTTTGATATTCGTGTATCAATGAGTCTAGGACTAGTATTATTTAATTGCCTTGTTTATGACGTTTTATGCGAAACTAATGAATGAAATGCCTTGCATTAGAATGCTGAGGGTGATGGGGTGAAAGATTCTCCCAGGAAGATCTCTGATGCTTCAAAAGAACATGAAAAGAAACCAAAAGTCGAGCAATCAGGGAAGCAAGCTAAAGACAACTCACCTAGTGGAGACACTTCAAAAGATAATTTCATTCATGTTAGAGCTAGAAGAGGTCAAGCCACCAACAGTCATAGTCTTGCAGAAAGGGTACAAACATCAACAACATCTTATACTAAATGTTTGTTAAGAAACAATCCTTTTTTCTAATGATTTTTATTGTTGCTTGTAGGTTAGAAGAGAAAAAATAAGTGAACGTATGAGGTTGCTTCAAGAACTTGTTCCAGGATGCAACAAGGTGATTAATTTAAATGATTGTGTTAAATGTTTTCTTATGATTCATGATAACTTATTTGCCGACACACCGATTCATATGTCTCAACAGATACATTTTTTCTTGGTTAGTACATTTTTTCTGATGATGATGTTGCATTTGGTTTCTTCACTTATTAGATAACTGGCAAAGCAGTAATGCTAGACGAGATAATAAACTATGTTCAATCACTGCAACAACAGGTTGAGGTAAGAAAGCGGTGTCCTGCGATCTTTAAAGTATCAACTTATTTATTAATATTCCAAAGTTAATTTGATCTGTTTTGCACTATGCACATGCTTAACACCAAGGGAAATAGAAAAAGGAAATACTTTTGTAAAATAAGTATAAAGGATATAATCATTTCACGGAATAATGAATATTAAGAGATGTTTATATGATAACCCTGAACTTCTAAGCTTCAATCCCTTTATATTATGGTTTTTGTGGCTATTCATCTTATAAAGAAATATTTTGCAGTTTTTGTCCATGAAACTTGCCACCGTGAACCCCGAAATGAACTTTGATGTAGAGCGGCTCTTATCCAAGGATGTAAGTGAAGTTTCTTAATCATATGGATTTGATTCTTAGGAAGTGAACAATTCACTTTAGAGGGTAAACAAAAAAATTTCATTTGATGATGAGAAAATTAGCTATTGATGTGACGATATGCATTGCATAACATAACAAATCTTAAATGCGACAGAATATCAGTAATGGATCTTCACATCAACGGTTGATAGTACATACTTTATCTTCTAAAGTGAATTGTTCACATGAGCAGAGTTACTCATAGTCCATTTAATGCAGAATTATTATTATGACTTACTTTTCTCTATAAATCAGATTCTCCAGTCACGCTTAGGACTCGGAATCGGTGGATTTGTTCCTGGTATAAGCTCCTCTCATCCATTCCCAAGTTCAAGTTTCCAGGGAAACCTGGCTGGCCTGCCTAGTTCATCAACACAATTCCCTCCTTTGCCTCAGGTTAAAAGATTTAAGACCTTTTCGACATTATAGTATTGTACCGTACCCTTTAGCTCTCTTCTAAATGGAATACTGATATACATCATGTACGTGCAGAATGTTTTGGACCATGACTTCCAAAGCTTTTATGGAATGGGATATGATTCTAATACAGCACTTGACAATTTGGGACCCAATGGTAAACAGGCAGATTCTTTTAATTTTTTTTGGAGCAAATAGTCGTTTTTATCTTGAAATGTGAGACATTATCATTATAGCGATATTGCTCGACACAATCAAGAACTAAACTGATGATTTACTCTTTAAATTATTTATTTATTGCACAACAAAGTTTAGTGTAAATTACTTCTAATTAGTTTATTTCCATGTTGAACAGGAAGGTTGAAACCAGAGTTATAGTATGTTGAATATATAGCCTTGTTTCTACATCAGAAGACTTTGGAATTTTCCTGTTGACCGCACAATTTAACTGAAGTTTAAAAAAAAATAGAAGGAAAAAAAAGGAAAATAAAGGTTTTAGTTGTATAGGATCTTAATTAATACCTAACTATTGGCTCTTCGAATTTTTAGTAGAAGATGACTTTGTTAGACAATATCAATTGGAAAGTGAGATACACATATTGTGAGAATGTGTGTAAAATCTTGATCATTCAGAACAAGTTGCAAGGGTGTATTATTTATTGATACTGGAGGAGCATGTGAGTAAAGTGTATGCAACTATCATTATTTCTGTGAAATTTTGTATAGACTTGCAGGGCATGGATTTTTTAAGATCATTGTGTTGTAGATTTGTGTTTTGGTTGTTCTTGTATTGTTCTTTTCAAAAGAATGTAATGAATGATGAGATTCGTAAGATCATATAGGAATTTGCATGAGTATGAGGGAGATTGAGTAGATAATTGCTTCTCACAATTTTTTATGGGTTGCTCTTCCCACCTTAGTGGCCATGAAATTCGAATATGTGATTTTAACATAATCAACTAGAGGAATCCGACCCAAAATATTTTCATTTCTTTGCAGAATTTTTTCATCTTATATTTTAATATTTCACGAGTCATTTCCTCTTAATTTCTCTAATTAAAAATCTTGTATATCAATTGGTTTGTTTCTTTTGCTTATCCATTCCATATATAAAGTTACTTACTTGTGCAAATTATGCATCTATAATACATTGAAACACACATTCCTATAAGATACAAGTACAAATTATATATTCATCATTCATTAAAACTCAAACTATTAAATTTTCATTTCTATAAGTACACTTACTCCGTATAAAAAAAAACTAAATTATTTTAAATATCTCCATAAAAAAACTATGAGACCTAATTTATTTTTAATAAAGTTAAATTAGTTAGTTTTTAGATAACTGGATAAAAAATTATGACAACTAATTTAATTTCTATAAAAATTAAAATAGTACAAAATTAAATTATAGATTTTCGGATATCATTCATAGTTTATTGCTGAAAATTGAACCCTAGACTACAAATTCAACGTAAAATAGAGAGTTTCGTCTATAATTTTGTATAGACAAATCAATGCTTTAAATTATTTTTAAAATATTATTTTAAATCATAATTGCAGATACATATTATAAAATTAAACCATAAAATTCGATGATGGTCATGAATGACTACATAGAGTGTGATTAATTTAAATGTGAAACATCTTCTATCTACGAAATAATGAAGAATAAACATTCTTTTAGATATAAATTTTTTTTATTAAAATTTACATTTATTTCACATTTTAAAATTAAATTGCGATGTCTTATTTGCATTTCTATGATTTAAACAAATTTCTTTTCACTTCAACTTTTACTCTCTTATTTGATTATTTTTATCTTTTCTTTTCAAAATTCTATTCTATTATTATCCAAATTTGATATCCATTCCATGCGCATAACCACATTTATTCCTCCCAGATGGAAAACAAAAAATCTACAATGAGCATGGTAATCCCCTAATGAATCTTTACATTATAAAAGCAAACTTGAGTATTCTTAAAAAATCCATCTCCCAATTTCACATAACGCATATCTTCTCGAGAGACCTTCAATTTGAGCAGTTGTACCACATATAAGCCAATAAAGTCATGGTTTGTCTCGTTATCTATCAATACCTTTAACTGTTACCAAGAATATGTTACACAAAATTCATGGTTATTGGTTTAGAAATGCATTCAACTGCATAAAAATTTTGTTCTAAATTATCCAAATTCTATCCTTCCATGTGGTTCTCCTCTTAGTTGCAGATTTCTAATTTGCACATTTGTGTTGACATATCCCTGACTTCATATTCCCAAAAAATTAACATTTTGAGGTTAGACATCCCATACCTATGAGATGGACCAAAATGTTCATTACAACGAATGTTAAGATATTTTTAAAATATTATTGAAAGATGAAATTTTGTATATATTAATTATAAGTAAAGTTAATAAGCAAATGATTCAATGTCCTAGTAGATAAGGTGCTTGAGATTTGATGTAAGAGTTTGTGGTTTGAGCCTTGTTGGTTCCTTTTTGAATAAAGTTCATTTTATTAACAATAATAAAAAACAAATTTAAAATGAACCAACGCGTGGCTCAAAATATTGTGCAATTCGCATTAAGGTATTCAAAGTATTCTGAAGGGAATTCATCGTTAATCCTTATTGCATCTAATATATAATAATTGTTAGGGCCAAATTGAACCTAAAGGTTAGTGTGAAATTCACACGCTTTGAATTTTCAAGTGCAATCTTCATCAACATCTTTTTTCTTCTAGTGCTGCTACGTATTTCCATCAACCACAATATCCAATAATCTTTAGGTACAATTATTATTTAATCAATGACAGCGTCACTCAAAGAAATGATATATAATTTTGTGAAATTGGATAAGTTTTAGAAAACTTATTCTTTAAAAGTGGGATATGTTTTGAATACAAGAAGACCAGTTAAAAGGGAAGAAGAAACAATTGCTGAAACAAGGAAGAGACAAAAATGAGACAATGATGACTACATTTGCATGTGCCATATTCTCAACGGTTTGTCAGACTCTTTGTTTGATATTTATCAAAGTTGTGAATCCGTAAAAGATCTGTGGGATAAACTAGAGTCAAGATACATGCATGAATATGTTAAAAGTAAGAAATTTTTGTTTTCAATTTCAATAATTATAAAATGGTAGATGATAGATCTGTTATGGAACAATTACATGAAATTGAACGTATTCTTAATAATTACAAACAATACAATATGCACATGGACGAAACCATCATTATGTCTTCTGTTGTGAATCAGATACCTTATAACAAATTATAAACAGTTTTTTAATGATCAAGAAACACACAAGGGTTTAGGGTTAACAAAGAAACCAAGGTAAAACAACAAGGAACAACAAGGATTGATTATAAACTAGTATTCTTTCCTTTCTCTTAGAAACAAGATTACAAGTATACAAGAATAAATAAATAACCTCTCTCTCTCTCTCTTAAAATTAAGATTTTATCTTTCTATTTTTTCTTATGCCAAGATTGAGAAACTAGCATCCTATTTATAAGAAAAATAGCACACTAATCTAATGAGCTTTTTAACAATTACCCATTACAAGCTAACTTAGAGTACAAGCTAACTTAAACAATTGGGCTTACAAGCAAGGTCCAATTCAACATGCTAAAAACCCTAGCAATATTGACTAATGCATGTTAGAATAAACTTCGACTACAACACGCATTACTCTGACAACAACATGCAAATATACTTCGACGTCATGCTTAATTCCTGTCGAACCAGAAGCTATCCTTCGACCATACTAGAGTTCGATCCAATATCTCACACTTTCATAATAAACAAACTTCCACCATCGTGAAAGGGCATAAAAAGGACCTTGAAACATAAAAAAGGAGGATATATCTCTTCAACAATTGGGTAATCACATTCGTTTAGAAGAAGAGTATTGCAAAAATAAGATACCAAAGACCAATTTACTCATGAGAAAATACATGTTGTGGAAGATGGAAAATCTAAGAAGACGAATGATAATATGGATATAGATGATGAAAAGATTCATGACAATAATAGAAATGGACTAAGAAAAAGAGGAAGTTGCTTCCGTTGTGCCAAACCGGGACATTTTAAAAGCGAATGTAGGTTCTTGAAAAAGATGAACAAAGAGAAGCACTCAAGTGCACAAAATAATCATCTTGTTGAATAGAAGTAACTTCTAAAAATTACTCACTTTTAAAAATGTATATTCCGTGTTATGAAATTATAATTAAGTGTGTTCTTTATGTAATAAAGTGTAGATTTATTTGGTTTTTTATAATTTATTGTGTGATATATTTATATGAAAGTGAGTTTGTATTTATTCACAGAGAAATTGAATATGAAATTTGGTTGTTATATATTTCCATAAATATTGATCATAAAGTATTGAGTTTTCTTTTAATAAAAGATGTGACATAAATAAATATACTTATAATGAGTTTAATATGTTTTGGATTAATATCATTTGATTTATCTTTAAAAATTGAAATAATTTTTATTTTATTAAATTCATTTAAGTGTTATGACATAAAATTCCATCTTATTTAAAGTATAATGATTGGTAGTTATATAATAAATTTCAAGAATATGCATGTATGTTTTGTATGTCATGTAAATGATGAAATTCTATTTAAGAGAATTAAATTAACCTAACTATTTAGATTTAATTTTGATATGTGTTTTTGATTTACATGATTGAATGTAAGATAAAATATTAATTATGAAAAAAATATACGATCATGATTGTAAATATAAGTCGTTTAAGACTTTTTACAGATACCAAGGAAGTTATATGTGTTTGTGCAAGGAAGTTGAATATATTAACTCCCTCTGTTTTTTTTAGACTTGTAAATGTTGAATATATTAACTCCCTCTGTTTTTTTTTATAAGTCGATTTAGACTTTGTACAGATACCAAGGAAGTTATTAACTTTTGCTAATTTTGTAAATATATTATAGGGTATTCCAATATTATCCTTTTTAAAAACACTCAAAATCTCTTGTTATTATGATTTGTCAATGAAATATCTAGATTGCATTTATTCTAATATATTCCATGAATAAAACATTAAATTAATTAAATTTATACGTGTCTTTTTCTATCCTACACTAATTTCTTATTTTTCTCCCTCCCAAATTTTCCATCACTCACCAAAAGATACGCTAAAGCACTCTGGGAGAAAAAATTAAGATTTTTTTTTGTTAAATTTTTCCCTCCAAATTCTTATGGCTCTTCATTAATTTTTTTCAAATTTCCCTCTAAATATTTCATTGTACTTTTTTTTGTATTATCAATTTTCTCAACGTGAAATACTCTTGGATCACTGTGCCAATTTTTTTAAGGATTTTTTTGTTATGATTGGAAGAA